TTTTTTTTTTTTTTTTTCCCTTTCGCTTTCTTTTCTTCCTTGACGAGTTTTCTTTCCAGGTCATGGTTCGGGGGTTTTTTTTTCTGAACAATTTTTCTTTTCGTCACATTTTTTATTTTTTTTTCGGGGACGGTTCGTTGCGTGGGGAGTGGATTCTGGATTCTGAAGTGAAATAGAACGGGAACGGAGGAACGGACGGACTGATCGGCGATTGATCGGCCTTTCCTGGTGGAGTTATGGACTTCTGAAGGGTCTTTTTGGTGATGTGGGGATATTGATGGTGACGATATTGGGTGGGTGTTGATGAGGATCTGAATGCTTGATACTTCACGATGAGATTCGGTTTGGGGGTTGTGATTGTAATGAGTGCGTTGGTTGTAATCTCCTTGCTTTTCTTTTCTTTCCTGAGTGCTAGCTTCAATGATCAATAAGGACAAGACAGGGTATTGATGTCTTCCTCACATGTCTGATATGAGAGTTGTCAGACGTCTCCAATGGAAGGTATTCTCGTTTTTCTTTTGGCAATTTGAGAAGCTCCGATGTCGTTTCCGGCGAATGGACCTATCGTTCGCGTCAATTTCACCCGAGCTTTCGGAGTGACCTTCTCACACTTTTCACCTCTAAAACGTTATCTACAATCGAAGAATACATTACTGAATCTACACCCGTCAGGGCTGCGTAGTTGACGATCCGCTTTACCGTACACCGCGATGATGTACACTTTTCAGCTCGACTTCGAGTTTCTGACTTCTGAGGCAGTTAAAAGGCGGTAAGACCTGCATATCTAGCAGCCTCCGCAAAAGTATGCAAACCACTGCGCGAAGCATGCATACACATGATTCGTAGCATGTGCGGCTGCACGAAGTGTAGATACCCGTGGGCTAGACTCTTGAAGACGGACTGTTCTCGCCGGCTCGCTCAAATTTTTAGCCGAACAGCGAAATGCCTGGAGCATGACTTTGAGCGAGTATTTTGATAAAATTCGGAAAACTTTGGCAAAGAGAAACAAATCCTTCAGAATGTTATGCATAACACGAAATTCGACATTCGAAACAAGACGGATGGTTGGAAAACCTACCAGGTAGCAAAAGAGAAAATTTGAGATTTGCAAAAGAACAAGGATGACGAAAAGGCAGGAATTGCCATGTACAACTTGTACAGTGCAGTCCAGTCCCCATTACAACAAGCAACCCAGGCAGTTTGAAAAACAAACAAGGTAAATCCCGTATAATCAAGGACGCACAAGCTCACACAAGTGAGAGGACAATAGCTCACAATGGAGGGACGGAGTAACCCGATACCCGTCGTTGTGTGCCTATTGTGAAGCGTGTAAATGCGTATTATGCTGTATGATCTCTGGTCGCACAGCTGCCGGGGGAAGAGATGTTCGCAGTAGATGACGGAGATGGGAAATGAGAATGGTTGTACACAGGGGCAAAGGGCGGGGATTGCTTTGTGTTACTGGCGATGACTGATGAATTGGGTTGAGTTTCTTGAGATTGAGGTCCGTTCGATATGGCAACTGCAGCCCGCCCTAGAAATGCAGAGCTGTAGAGATCCCACTCGGGACGATATTTGTGCAGTTTGCGCGGTTCTTCGGTAGTGTTCGCGTCTTTGACTACTACCGGGGAGGTTGGGCGGGTTTTTCCCCATCTTCTTTTATTTTCTCTTTGGGCTGTGCAGGATAAAACTCTTTGCTGCAGTGGAGTACGGACTATCTTGCGAACTGATAGTTTATGAGAGCTTGAGACTCTCGCCGTCATGAGCATCCGATAGAGAGACAAGTTGCCTTGACGATGTCCCCGTCCGTGTTGCTCAGACTGGGACTCGGACGAAGATCGTGGACGACGTGGTGCATACACAGAAGCAATGGTGGCCAGCGTGTCTCACCCAAAAGTCGGCACTAAAAAGAGCTTGATTTCCTCTCGTTGCTTTTTTTTCTTTTTCTTCGAGTCCAGATGTCTGGTAGTGAGGTTGGTGAGGCCTCTTGTGGCCTGTGCTGTGTCCATGTCTTCAGGCTGTATCTCTGGGGTGAAGAAGTCAAGCGGGACGAATGACCACGTTCAGCGGGGCAGCCTTTGTTAGCACGATGCGGGAAAGGGATCCACACTTCAGCTGTCGATGATTTTTTGTTGCTCAAGGCGGAGCAATCCCCAGCCTTCTTTTTCTGTCTTGTCGCTAGTCTGTGATTTCGGAGATGGTCGAGGGATGGTTTGAATCAGGGTCCATCGCGATTCATCAGGGAAAAACCCCCCCCCGTTCATATGAACGAAAGAGAGTTCAGATTGGCAGCCAACAACGACAAGACTTGCTTGTCAACAGAGCAAGCAAGTCTCGAAGAAGGGACGAACAGCAAAAAGATTCTTGGTGCTCATGACATCAGTCCACTCTCCATTTCTTGGCACGTCCCCACTTGATGATGCGGGATGTACCGCTAGCACAGACCAGGCAAGGTCGAATGCACCGCCAAATCGGCAAGGGTCGAGCTTAAACCGAAAGTGAGTGCTGACGGGCGCCGCCGCAGGTACCAATTCTTCTCCTCATCTGATATTTCCAACGACATGTGTAAATGCAAACGTGCTCCTCCAAACCGCCTGGAAACTATCGTGAAAGCAAAACCAGCCCTCTGGGACTTTTGGCTCGTGGTCAAGTGGGGGAAGAGGAGGGGAGATGGAAACAAAATCCACTGTCCAACCGTCTCCATTGGCCCACCCTGCCCGCAGGCCAAGCGAGAAGCGACGACAAGCGACCACTCCAGCTGTCCAGGGTTGAAAAACCACAGGGTTTCAGATAAATCTCGACAGATTGGCCAATCAGCCATTGCCATCTTGCTGCCCCCAGCATCGAGCTACAAAGCACTGCGCCAGAGCCCTAGACCGACCGGCCTCCCGTCTCCACAGAGCAACATCATCGACTCAACCATCTCTGACAACACCGCATTTTCCCCAACTGGAATTCCAAGAAGCCATTCCCAGTTTTGCAAACGATCATCATCCAGAAGAAAAGGGTTCTTCAACCACGTTGTCGGAAACCGGGCTGCCGAAAAGGCTGGACAGATAGATTACGAAAGAACATCGGCTTACGCAAGTACCGTACGATCGGGCAGCGGGCCTTTGGCAATCTGGGCTTGGCCGATAGAAACCCAGCCTCTTCCGTCACAGGCTCACCACAGCAACCTCTTTCTCTGCTTGCTTCCATGCTTCCATTTCCATCCAGCAGCCAGCAACCAGTGAGAAGGGCCACGGCAGTGTTGCTGGCAGGTTTTATTGTCCAAATTTCACCAATCCGCTGTGTACCACGGCAAATGGCCGGTTTTTGAAACACGAGAGCGACCTTGCTCTTCTGTTCGGTCGGGTTCTCGGAACAGATTGATTGTTGCTCATCTCATCATCCTCCAACTTGTTGCCTGCCGAGAGTAGTTGTTGGTTGATGAATGGTCAACCGCGACGCGTGCCATGACATCCATCCCAACCCAACTTTTCGTTGTTGCTCCCCTCCAACGTCAACACATCAAATCCAGGAACAAGGAACAGAAACATGGCATCCCTTCTTGGCTCGCCAGGCACAGCACATACCCGCCAGCAGCCATAACCCAGAAAGCAAAGAATGAAGAAAAAAAGGCAAGTAGGTCACAGCGCATATGGTGACAGGGAGAGAGGTAGGTACCGCACCAGCTGTGTGCCTCTGCCAGCTAAGCTCCCAGTTGCAGTGCATAATGTGGCTTGCTTTTTTTTCGCCGCCCTTTTTCATTTTTCTTTTCTTTTTTGACCTTTCAGTTCCTTGCAACATAGAAAGAGCTGGCCCAGGCCTTGGCAAGCCTGCCCTGGACGACCTGACCCTGACCTGGGCCCTGCAAGCAACGTCACTTGGTCACCTTATCACCGGCGATGCGACGACATTTGCTAGACCAGTTCGACCAGCTGTGAGCTGCTAGTGGTCGCAAGCACAGATTGCGACCGAGTTACAAACTGATTCTAGGCTCATTCCTGATGTTGTGCGGGACAAAAGAAAGAACAATCCACGGGGCTGGTGGCTGGTGGTGGTAGCTGGGAGCTGGGAGCTGGGAGCTGGGAGCTGGGAGCTGGGAGCTGGTAGGTGAGTTCGGATTGTGGCAGATGTCAATGATGATATGGGGCATCGTTCTTGTCTTTGTTTTCCGTACTGGGTGATGAAATGGATCTGGGCAGCGAGATCTGAGAGGCCCAGAGATCCCAAACAAAGGGTCTGATTTCCTGGATAGTACCGACCAGGTAGGTACTTTGTACCAGCCAACTGGAAACTGGGGGTGCCGGCTGGTGGTGGTGGTTTGTGATGCTTGCTGGAGGACCGACGTCGTAGCACCCTGGTTGCATCCGGACAACGATGGAGTCGCTCGCTTCTGTGATGGAGACGACGGCGGGAATGACAACACCAAGATCAGACTCCACTTTTTGTTTGGTGGGACAGCCGAGCAACAACCTGGTCGACCTGGATGGAGACAGACGAAAAACACTGTTCGCTGTTTCCTGTTGTGGGCACAAACCGTGGCTGCCCTGGCCCGTTCCGTCGGCGTCACTCATCTTGACTAAATTATAAACAGGAAGGCACGAGGTGCTACACTCCAGTCGAGTCCTTTCCATCTTCCTTCTCATCCAGCCTAGTACCCTGCCCAGCAACTCCTGCGTTTGTCTCACTTCGAAGGACCAGACGACATTTAATTTGCACCACCACCCTCCTCTTCCCAAATCAGCTCAGTCGACCATTCACTCTACTCTCACCTTTCTCCCACCTGCCCCACCACCTACCAAACAAAACCTCGACCGCGACTTCTTGTCTCTTCCTCCTTCCTCAACTCACCTCCCAACAATAACATCTCGACCTACCTTAGTCGTCACCTACAACCAAACCAACATCCCTACATCCATCAAAATGAAGGCCTCTACCATCCTCGCTCTTGCCGGCGCTCTCGCCGTCTCTGCCCAGAGCTTCCCCGACAACTTCCCCGACTGCGGCGTAAGTAGAGCCTCATGATGATGAACATCCCACGTGGAAAAAACACCATGAACTAACCCGCCCTTCAGAGAACCTGCGGCAACAACATGCTTGACAAGGCTGGCTCCGAGTTCCAGTGCGGCCGTGATGATGCTGCCTGCTTGTGCAAGAACGTCAACTTCGGCTACGGCATTCGCGACTGCTCTGCCGCTATTTGCTCCGTGGCCGACGCCGAGACCGCCGTCAACTGGGCCAAGAAGTGGTGTGCTGATGCCGGTGTCACCATCAACCCTGTAAGTTCACATCTCCCTCTGGTAATAAGCAGTCCAGCACTAACAGCCACATAGGGTGCCGGCTCTGGCTCTGGCTCTGATGGCTCTGGCTCTGATGGCTCTGCCTCCGTCACCACCTCCACCGTTGTCTCTACCGTCACCTCCGACTCTGCCACCAGCACCGTCACCTCCGTGACCACCGTCTCCGATGGCGCCGGCGCTGGCGCTGGTGGTTCCGCTAGCTCTGCCTCTGGCGACGCCACTGCCATCACCACCAGCGAGTTCACCTCCACCTTCACCAGCGGCGAGTCCACCATCACCAGCACCGGTACCACCACCATCTCTGGCGTCTCTGGCGTCGCTGGCGCTACCTCTGTCCCCGAGACTACTGTCACCAACCCCGTTGTCTCTACCGTCACCTCCGAGAGCTCCACCTTCGAGACCACTGTTGGTAGCACCACTTTCACCTCGTCCATCACCGGCTCTGCTCTCAGCTCTGCTCTCCAGAGCCAGGCCTCCAGCGCTTCCAGCGAGGGTGCTGTAAGTTAATCTGCAATCTGAAGTCAAAGTCAAACAATGATGCTAACAAACAACCTCCAGGCTCCTCAGCAGACCGCCGCTCCCATTGCCGGTTTCTTCGCCGCCGCTGGTCTCGCCGCCATGCTTCTCTAAGCGCATCCAGCATTTTTTCCTTTTGAAGCTCGGACATATTTGACCAACTGACACGATTTGGAATGACGGCTCTTTAGCAGCAACACAACTAATGATCTGATGAAGAATGGCGCCAAATCTTTTTAATGACCTGGAAAAGTTTGGAGTCGGGATAGATTCTCTGTACATATACTTTGGAGTTGGGTTTTTTTTTCTCTACACTGTTACTCCGGGAGATGATACCATTGCGATCGATGGGATATAATCTTGGGAAATGGATGATGGATGGATGGATGGATGGGTTACTTAATGATTGATGTATGAAACAACACACATCTTCTTCTCATTCTTCTCGCTTACTGCACTGCACTGCGGTCGGTAGCTAGCTGGATTGATGAAAGATAGTGTTAAAGGTCAGATGGTTAAAGAATAACATCTCACAAAATCTTTCCGTGTTCCAATTCGTGACTTCGCATTGCATGAAGACAGAGGGTAGATGATTGGTGTTGACCGAGTGGTAGTGATGAGTTGTGAAGTGAGGAGTCCGAATACTCTACGACAATCTCATATCGAGGCTTACATATCTGATACGCGCTCAGCCCAACCACCACAAGATTGCTTACCTTCCACTCAGCTGAGGTCTCTCGTCCACGCTTCACGCCCGTAGTTGAGGGAACAAATCCCAAAAAGTAGTTTTTTTGAAACACACAATGCTTTTGGACAGGACAAGGGAAACCTATACCGTCCCTTGCCTTTATTCTTTCTACAACAGAACCAAAAGAAGCAATGCAAACACAACACAGAAACATAGAAACGAACTTTTATAGTACCTTAGACCAGTTGTTCATAATGCAAGGCCATAACATAACACCATCACTCAAAAACCCGCCTCCATCTAATCCAATCCAATCCAATCCAGTCCAGAATGTCGGTTCTCATGTCTCAATCTTCTCCTCTTCTCCTCTTGACTTCTTTCTTCCCTCGTCCCTCAACCGCTGGCTAGGTCGCTCGCTGACATACCCGCTGGCATCCACTGCTCTAGCTCTAGCTAGCTCTAATACCTCCCACCATGACCGCTACCGTTACCACCATCACCGTCAACAGGCACCGCAAACCCAACTTAAAACCTGGAATACCGCTGCGAATCCATCAATAGCTGTTGATCGGGCGTTTGATCGTCTTCGCTCTCGTCTTCGTAATCGTTCTCGTCTTCGTTCTCGTCTTCATACTCTTCTTCTTCTTCGTCTTCTTCGTCTTCGTACCCAGCTGCTTCGTTTTTAATTTGAACATCGCCGCCGCCATTTTGTTCTTGTTCTTGTTCTTGTTCTTGCGCTTCCTCGTCCTCGTCTTCGTCTGATTGATCCCGACTTCCGACGTCCTCCATGATGACTGTGTCATTTTGTTGGTCTTGGTTTTGGGCTTGATTTAGGTCCTGGCTCTTATTTTGGTCCTGATCAAGCTCCATTAACTCTGGGTCAACATCAGCGTTCTCCTCCACCTGCTTCTGGAGCTGGAGCTGCTGGAGCTGGCGCTGACGCGGTGATTGGCGGCGGGTGACAATCTTTTGTTGTTGTCGCTGTTGCTGTTGCTGTTGCTGTTGCTGTTGTTGTTGTTGTTGTTGTTGTCAGAGAGGTTGCAGTCCATGCTATCTGAGGGTCTTGTCAGTGGAAGTTTGTTTCTTATCGTTCTTGTTCAGAGAGGTTGCAGTCCATGCTATCTGAGGGTCTTGTCAGTGGAAGTTTGTTTCTTATCGTTCTTGTCCGTTTTGGGGCAATAGGTGTTGGTAGTGTTGGTGTTGTTGCTGTTGCTGGCGGAGGACGACTCGGACGCATTGATGACATTTCAAGAATGAGATAAAGGGCCACCAGCAAGAACAGAGGCAGGGGCAGCATGGGTGGAGGGTGTAGGAGTCTGCGGCGCGAACCTCGTTGGCACCAGCGCTGAACCAGACATGAGGGCAGCAGCGCGGCCGTTCTGGCCGTTTGCAACACCGTTGGCAACAGCCGGCGTGGGGGTGTTGATGACCGTGGGAGTGTTGCCAACAGCAACAGCTCCAGAACCAGAACCAGAACCAGAACCCGAACCAGAGCCCGAACCAGAACCAGAACCCGTACCAGAAGAAGTACCAGCAGAAGTACCAGCAGAAGAAGAAGCAGCCCGTTGCTTCACCCTCAACCCCTCCTTCAACTCCTTCCTTCTAGCCTCTCTCGCGGCTTTAAGTTGCGGATGCCGTTGCATGAACTTGGGTCCCCAATGTTTTCCCACCGTCACTGTACTTCCCTCTCCATCTTCTCCTGCCACGTCCCCTTCCTTACCACCATCCTTTCCATCCCCTCCCTCCTTTCCCCCCTTGCCCACCGGCGTAGCACCAGCACCAACCGACTTCCTCCTCGCACTTCCTCCCCCCCTCGTAGTAGTCCCCCCCCTCCTTCGCCTCCCTAACCCCAACCTCCAAAACCCTATCCGCAAACCTTCTAATATCCTCCATCTTCACCGGCAGTCCCAAATTCTCTTGCGCAAGAACCCACATGGCGATATTCTCTTCCTGCTCGGGGGTCAGTTTTTGCATTTCTCGGGAGGAGGTTTCATAAGACCGCTTGGCTTGCGGCGTGCCCTGGAAGTGCCGCTGGAGGGTAGAGAAGGGGATGGAGTGCGCTTGGGCGGCTTTTCGAATCGACAGGGAACCTGAGGAGACGGCGGCTATGGCGGCGGAGAATTGCGTGGGGGTGTATTGTTTTATGTGAGAGGTTGAGCGGGGGCCGGGCATTTTGGGCGGTTTTTTGGTGGTGGTTTGGTGGCCTGGTGGTTGATTTAGTGGTTTGAAACGTGAGACGAGATAGTGCTTGGTCTGGTGGGGCAAGTTGAGAGTTGCCCAATTCGACCTTGGGGTGAGTAACTGAGTTGAGAGATGGAGGTGGTGAAAGATCCTATTTCGGTCTTTCCTTGGTCCCGGGGCCGAGGTCGATGAGTGTTTTTGATGTGAAGACCACAGTTTGTGGTAGGATGGAAGAACTGAAGTTGACCCTTTACTCGAAAGCTGAAGGGTTGGTTTTGGAGTTATAGACTCTCGAATATCGGATGTAAGAGGCGTGATGCTCGCTTCAAGATTTTGTTAGTTGCGTGGCCTGACCATGCAAACAAAACCTGGCATTGAAGATGCCGCCCAAGGCAAGTGGGATGAAAACCATACCTGCAAAGAAGAGGCATGTATATAGTCTCCAATTGTACAAAAAAAGGTAATTGCCGAGGTTGATGCTGGAATCCAAGAGGCAAGTGTCCAAATTTAACAGCTCGAGAAATCTCCAATTCGGAGAAAAAAAAAAGATACGATTGAGGAAATCGGACGGGCGCTAACAATTTGGTACGTAGCCACACAGCAAAGCCCGTTAGCGACCCAAGATTTCTGCAGGCGCCACTTGAATCAGGCAACCTTGACCTGAGCACGTGACCTGGCGCATTTGTCGCGCTTTAGTGTGATTGATTGATGGAGAAAAGCTACTTGTGTCCAGGAGCGGGGAACCCGCAGCTATATACCTGTCAGGCTCTCCAAAGTACCTATGTACTTCTACCACTGCTTCTGCGGTGTGTGCGGTCGTACTGGATACTTCGACAGGCCTGGTCACCTCAGTACCAAAGGTACCGACCTCCCCTGATCAGGTATTGCCTCTCTGCCTGGTCAGGTGCATCCCGGTAACTAGCAGGCACAATTAGTGTGGTGTGCTAATAGAGATGCTGCCCGACTCCCCGACTGAATGCGTCTGCAATGTGCGCCGTGCGCCTGACGTCTCGGGCGTTTCGCTTTCATCCGAACAACAAACTGTTGTTTATCCCCGTTCACGCATTCATTAATTAATGATTATCTTTCAGCCATGATAATCATCGAACTCATAAATTCATTATAACATACTCAACGCAAAACATTCCCAAGCGTTATCACCAACTCAGTACTCACATCCCGATACCGTACTCCACGCGCCTGACGTCATCCGCCACTGCATTATCAAACGACTTTCTCCCTTCGCGTCGAGACATTTCCGCGGGCAAGAACAGGTCAGAAAATCAAAAGAACGACCAACAACAACAACAACAACAACAACAACAACAACAACAACAACAACAACAAAACTCAATCAACCATCTCAATGCCAGCAACACGCAAATCCACTCGCTCTCGCGGCGGCGCTGCCGCTGCTGGTGCTGCCCATGGCAAACAGCAGACCCTCTCCTTCAATCACCGCGTCACCAAGCCGACCGTCAAAGCAGGCAAGGACCTTCTCGTCAAGGAAGAAACCCCCGAGACTATCACCACCAAAACCAAGGACGTCAAGCTCCAAGATGACGAGGTCGTTGAGGTACCCGAGGCCGAGTCGGAGGAGCAGGAGGAGGAGAAGCCACAGCTGGAGGCCAATGTGAAGAAAGCCGCGAAGAAAGCCGCGACCAAGGATGTGAAGGATGAAGTCAAGGAGACAACCAAAGAGGATATCAAGGCCAAGGAACCAGAACGGACTGAGATCGAGAAACGCGCCCTCAAACTCCCTCAATCCGCCATCGACGCCTACTGGAACAAGATCGACTCGGCGCGCATGGCAAGGGCCGTGCACAAGAAACATACCGAGGGATTGACAACGGGAGAGAAAGTGTTGAGGCATTTTGATGTTAGCAGTCATTATGGTGTAAGTCTCTTGTTTTCTCTTTCCGTTCATTCTCTGCTCCCATGACCACAGAAGAAATGACGTAGTGCTAATGCTGATGGGACGATGGTAGCCATGCATTGGAATCACCCGCCTTAAACGCTGGCAGAGGGCTGAGAGATTGGGATTGAACCCGCCCATCGAGGTGTTGGCCGTCCTGCTTAGGGAGGAGAAGAATGGGAATAAGGCTATTGAGAGGGCGCATATGGATGAGTTGATGAACTCTGTTAGTACTGGGCCTTGAACAGGATGCAAGGTGTCGGCGTTGTGGCGACGGTCTATGAAGCGACGATTTTTATGGATGGTATAGGATGGGATAAGGGACACAACAGTACACAGTTTTAACTGTTTGGCGAGGCGTTTTATGGGAAATGGTTTTCGGGACGATGGTATTCGGGAGATTTACGTTGAGTATGAACATGAAGCAACGTAGGAAATGGAATTGGGTCGGAATCAAGGCTAAAGAGGTGACATGTCAACGATGTCCCAAGTACTCTATAACATTTATTTGCTCTAGTATCAACATTTTAAAGGAAATCTAGGTGTATCTACTTCCCCACCAGTTTATCTTGTCTGTTCCATTTTCCTCCCTTTTCCATTTTATTCCTTTGTTTCTTCCAATTTCATTTTCCTTTTCCTCCAATATTTCTGTGAGACTGTCCCCCTTCGCCATCCCTTCCCAAGTCCCTAGCCCTAGTACCAAATACTCCTAGTCCGATGATGCGGAATCCTCTCCCTGCCCTCCGCCTCCAATTCCTTCACATCATCATACAATAAGAAATCAATCAGCACGGCATTCACCTTCCCCCTCGCCTCCTCGGGGTTCTGCCTAATAATCTCCCGCCTAATCAGCTCCACGCACCAAATGCTGCACGCCCGCAGCTGCATTTCCCACTCGCTGCCATGCTCAATCATCCGCTTCTCGCGCACCGCCGCCTCCAGCGTCGGCCCGTACAACAGGCAGTTGAGCTGCCACAGCATCTGCGGGACGCGGTAGTCGGCGAACATGGTGATTTTGTCAATGTCCGGGAAGGAACCGTAGGATTGGCCCTCGAAACAGGCCCACAGGTCGGCGACGAAGATTTGCGCGCGCTTGAGGATCCGGATGGGCTGTCGCCGGGCGGGGTGGGCGTGGATGTCGGCGAAGCAGGGGAAGTCGGAGGCTAGAAGGTTTACCAAGGCGGCGGCGGAGCCGTTGGCTGCGTCGATTAGGTCGAGGACGGAGCCGTCGTATTTCTGTTTTGTTGTGTTAATGTAAGCTACCTCTAGGTAAGGAAGTGTCAAGGGAGGGAGGAAGAGATAAAGATGTTCGTACCTCGTGGAGAACCTGGCCGGCTTCACGGAGACAGTCAAACCTCTCCTGCAGAAGAGGAATCTCCTCATCCGTGGCAGACCGGAAAACGTTGCGGAGGACGTCTACGGTAAACGCTTCTTCATTGATCCAGAAAGCGGGATCGGTGATGGGGATTCCTGTGGACAGAGACACCAGCGTCAACGAAGGGTTCTTCTTCTTTATTGTTTACATAGCTATCATTTAACCACAGGAACATCGCCAAACATTTCATCTTCATTACCAACAAAGCCAAAAAACTTCAAAAGCAAGAAATGAGACCAACCTTCCTCTAAGCCCCTCTGCAACCCGGCCACCAAACTCCAATACCCCGTCCACCTCCTCCCTCTATACTCAACCTGGAACCTTTCCTCCTCGCTCTTTTCGCTCCAAAACGAAAAGTTGAGGATATCCATCGCAAAGATAAACTTGACCGTCTCCTCATCTTTCGTCTTGGGGTGGAGCTCATGGGTTGACCAAGTAGCTGGCGAGTACTCCCGCTGTTGCATCTGGGTCCAGATGGTTTCGGCGGCCTTTTTGCACCCGCGCATGTCCAGGGCCACGTCGATGGCGTGGTTGTAGACGAACTCGGCAGACTCCAAAACGCCCGTCTCGGCGGCGGTGGGGCTGGCGGTCTTGCCTTGGAGGTGTTGACGCAGGAGCTCGAGGAGCTCGGGGTCGGGTTCTGAGTCGGAGGAGTAGGACATTTTGAATGTGGGCGGACGTAGGAGACGGGAGGTGAAAAGGGATCCGAGAGAACGAGAAAATGAAGGGTTTGAGAAGAAACGAGGAATGAGTTGAGATTTTGAGATGGGGTGGTGAAGTCTGAGGAAGGGGGTTAGGGAAGAAGTGAGAAAACGGGAAGGTTGCATCGTGAGTTTAGCAAATACAGGGGACACGCTGATAACCCTGAGAGTCATCAACTGTCAGGAAGTGACTGTTCCTGAATTCGAGGAAGCAAACATTCGAGTTCACAGTCAGATTGATGATATGGCAGATTCATACGCATGTTTCTTATTATACGTAGAGCCTATCACATTCTCTGAAAACATGGACCAGTCTTTGTTTGTCTGCATGTTTCTCTCTTTTTGTGATGCCCAGGGTTATATATGTAAGTAAGTGGACCGCCCACCGCAACACAAAAAACAAAGTGGTTGCAGCTTGCACCAGGGCGACCAATAAGACTCGGCACTTGCCGTGTGCCTGCCGGAGGATCGTCCAGGCCAACCCCGGAATGTTTTAGCGTGTCGCTGGAATCATGACGCGGGAACCACCAGGAAGTCTTGAACGGGAAGGAACTGAACCGTCGCTGGATTCACCAGTCTTGGTGGTTGCAACTTCCTAAACTGGTTCTGCATTTGCGAGGCTGAACTTGTTTTTCCATTTCAGCTTTTCCTTCTCTTCTTCCTTACCCCGACATCAGATTGTCCTTGGGTAAACACAGTGATCGCCCACCCGCTCGACGTGAAACCGACGATAACCAGCGAAAGTCCGCAACCTCGAACCACCTTCCAGCTTGGTCGCACCTCTTGCTACTCGGGCGCAAGCCTCTTCCACATTCGCGATGGATCCCACGATGGGCAATCCTATGGTCCCTATGGCCGCGCAAATACCAGTACCAGTCGCGCAGCCTATCCCCATGCCTGTGTTGACGCGCGATAGCTACAACTCGCAATCGCTGGGGCGGTCTCTAAATGGAAATGTCAAGCAGGTACGTGCCTTCCGTAACGATGAGCCTGCCCGTCGCTTTTGTCCCAAGTCATCCCCGCGGCAACCAGTGGTCGCAACATGGTGCCAGTCCTCGCAACTGGTTTGCGCGGAAATCTATAAGAATTCTATTTCCAACGTCCCTCCAAACCAAATCCTTCCTTCCTGCTTTCGCGACCACAACCACCATCATGGCTTCCGAGTTGACTGCCGAAGCGGTCCTCACGGCAGCCGCAGAAAGCCCCGACACTCTGCTAACGACATCCTCACAGGCGCGCGTACTTATGGTAGGCGCTGGCGGTATCGGCTGCGAACTCCTCAAGAACCTCGTCCTCACCGGCTTCGGCGAAGTCCACGTCGTCGACCTCGATACCATCGATCTCTCGAACCTCAACCGCCAATTTCTCTTCCGCCACGAACATATTAAAAAGTCCAAGGCCCTCGTAGCCAAGGAGGCTGCGCAAAAATTCAACCCCGCCGTGAAGATCATCGCCCACCATGCGAACATCAAAGATGCGCAGTTCAACATCGAGTGGTTCAGCACTTTCAGGATAGTCTTTAACGCGCTCGACAACCTCGAAGCCCGTCGTCACGTCAACAAGATGTGCATCGCAGCCGACGTACCCCTCATCGAGAGCGGAACAACTGGCTTCAACGGCCAGGTACAAGTCATCAAGAAGGGCGTCACCGCCTGCTACGATTGCTCGCCGAAGGAGACACCGAAGTCTTTTCCTGTATGCACGATTCGCAGTACACCCAGTCAACCCATTCACTGTATAGTGTGGGGCAAGAGCTACCTGCTCAACGAGATCTTCGGAGCGAGCGAGGACGAGTCAGCGTTCGATAATTCTATCGATGGCAATAATGCGCAAGAGATTGAGGAGCTGAAGAGGGAGTCGGAAGCGCTACGAAAGATCAGGAACTCTGTGGGAACGGAGGAGTTTCCAGAGATGCTCTTCGAGAAGGTGTTCACGACGGATGTTGAGCGTTTGCGCTCGATGGAGGACATGTGGAAGACGCGCAAGCCGCCTGAGCCACTCAACTACATGGAGCTTCTCGAAAAAGCCAAGTCGTTAGACAAGGAGAAGGTGCTGAAGGATTCTCAAAAGGTTTGGTCGCTGGAAGAGAATCTAGTTGTTTTCAACGACAGTCTTGAGCGTCTCAGCAAGCGGGTTTTGGAGAGCAAGAACGCTGGCCAGGACGCCATTATTACTTTCGACAAGGACGACGAAGACACTTTGGACTTTGTTGCTGCCAGCGCCAACATCCGCTCAGCAGTCTTTGGCATCGACAGAAAGTCAAAGTTCGACATAAAGCAAATGGCGGGCAACATCATTCCCGCCATCGCGACAACCAACGCCATCGTTGCCGGTCTTTGCGTACTGGAAGCGTTCAAGGTCCTGAAGGGCCAATACGAGCAGGCCAAGGAGGTTTTTCTCACGCCGTTTGCTAACGCCCGCATGTTGGCGTCCGATAAGTCACGGGAGCCTAATCCTGATTGTCCAGTTTGCGGCGTTTATCAGACGAGGGCTTACGTCGATTTGGAAAAGGCTACTCTGAACGACCTGGTAGAGCACCTAATCAAGACGAACTTGGGGTATGGCGAGAAGGACTTTGCCATTAGCAATGAGGTCGGCATCTTGTATGACCCTGATGAGACGGATAATCTGGAGAAGAAGCTTTCAGAGCTTGGTATGTTTTCCCCATCCTACCATAATGGGAGTTGCTAACATTGTACAGGCATCAAATCTGACTCCTTCCTGACCATTACCGACGAAGACGACGAGGAACCGTTCGTCAATGTCGTCATCGCCATCCAAGAAGCGTACGTCCCTGTTCCCACCTCAACCACGTCCACAACTAACACCCGCAAAGCAAGGAGCCTCTAGGAGACAAGCCAGTCAAGGGTATTCTCGACCCAGAGGACGTCAAGATCCCACGCAAGCCCAAGAAGCAGCCACAGCCTGAGCCCGTAGCCACTCCCGCTCCAACCAACGGTAACAGTACATCAAACGGCGGAGGAGTGATCGATCTCGACGGCGATGAACCGATGACGACGCCAGCCAAGTCGTCACTCAAGCGTGGCCACCCCGAAGACGCAGAGGGCCCATCGGTCAAGAAGATCAAGGCAAACGACAAGGCGGCAGACGACGATATCGTCTTCATTGAGGATAGCGCGGGTGCTATCGTTATTGATGATGACTGATTGTCTTTGTGCAACACCGCTTTGCCATATCCTGCCCGTAACACACAGTTGCCGCTATCAGGCTTGGTAGACCGGCACGTAGGCCGTAGTCACGGTCGGTATATATGATTACTACAAGCTTGCTATTCTTGTTATATCACCCACCATCCGTTATCTCTCTGATACCCAAACAAACAAGTGCGTCGTTTAGACAGCACTCAACCCACCATCAAGATTAAGTACGCAGTTGTTTGCATACGGATTCTTGATAAGGAAGAGGGCGGCGTCGGCTACTTCATCTGTAGTTCCGAAGCGGCCGAGGGGAATCTGTTGAAGGAGGGAAGGGTTTTTGAGACCTGGATGATGAGATGAGAGATGTTAGTTTGGGTCTAGTAGTGATGATGATCTTGAAGAATCTTGAAGGACTGATTGATAGTTGAATGAGATGAGATGATATGGGCTCTTTGAAGACTTGCGATTTCTAGCGTAGATGAAAGGGAAATAGGCTAGGGGCAAAATGGATTGAAGATCGGAGGATGAATAGGAGATGGATGACGATGATAGTGTAGATTCTTGTTTAGAATATCTGGTGGATCTTGAGGATTTCTTCGATGTTGTTCTTGGCTTTATCGTGTGTCGGGCGTCGAACCTAAGGATGATATGGATTGGATGGACGTGCGTGTATTTACGAGTTAAGAGCGGCTGGGCTTCTCGTGCTCGTGTTTATCGTTTCAAGGAAAGATGAATGCGGAGAGAATCTTCGAGGAAGGACTCGTGGCCGGCTGTGGTAAACTCCAATCAAAGAACAGGAATAACCTGGCCCTAGCTAAGCAGGGTGACCGCTCGAGTAGTTACGAGGTCATGATCATAGTAGCTTGGCCCACAGTTGTGTATCCGTTGCAAGCAAGCCACTGAACAACGGAAGCAAAGTGCGAAGAGAGGAGAAGAAGCAGAGAAATGAACTAACCACTAGTCATATCCGTCTCGATATATCCCGGCAGAACGGCATTGACTCTTATCCCGGATCTGCCGAATTCATTTGCTAGGGAGGTCGTTAAGCCTGTTTTTGTTGACAATGTTAGCCGGTGTTGCTCGCCCGTTTTTGTCCTTTGCATCTTATTCCTCTCGTGTCCTTTATGCCCTTTTTGTCATATCCCGTGATTTCCATTCGGACAACCGATTTTCCTCTCTCTTGCCGTTGATGCCTTCATATCCATCTTCTGAGTTCATGCACCCTTCGTCGTCTTAAAGCTTTCTTCGCTCTAACCACCCAGTCCACTATCCGATCGACCGACCTCTTTCATCTCCCATCTTCATCTACTCGCCCATCGACCATTTTCCGGCCGTCCTCCGTACGGTCTGTATAAATAAGAAGGAAATAGGAATTGACGGAGCTTACCAACAACCCCAGCCTTGGCAGCCGCATAAACACTCGTTCCCACCACCCCCTTTTGCGCAAGTAGACTCGCCACATTCACAATCACCCCCTTCTCTTTCACCCCCTCTTGCACCTCCGTCTTTTGTCCCTCCTTCCCTCCTTCTCCCCCAGTCCCACCTTCTCCCTCAGTCCCCGCCCTGGCCCTCGAGGTTTGCAGCTGACTTCGATTCCGCAACATAGCCCTCCCAACGAATTTACACCCCAACACCGTCCCGGTCAAATTCGTCCCCACCAATTCCTCCACTTCCTCAACGGGCGTTTTCATTAGCGGGGAGCGTTGCGTTATGCCCGCGCTGTTGATTAGGATGTCGACCTTCCCACAGGTTTTGAGGAGGTCCTGCCATGAGGATGCGCTGGAGACGTTTAGGGGGTGGTAGGATACTCGTTTGTCGTTGTCGGTTTCTAGTTGCGAGATGGTTGTGGTTGTTGTGCTTGCGGTTTTGGATGACTGGGATGGTTGAGGTGATTGGGAAGATTGGGATGGGTAGGATAAGATGAGAGACTGGGCTTGGCGGAGAGTGGCTTCGGTGCGGCCGAGAAGAGTCACGGAACAGCCTTCTAAATACAGGCTGCGGGCGATGGCGAGACCGATGCCGGAGCCGCCGCCGGTTATGAGGGCGTGTTTGTTTAGGAGGGTGCGCATTTTCGGTAGGGTTCGGCGAGTTGGCCTTGGGAACTGGGGGTGTCGGGAACGGATTGGGTATGACGAAGTGGTTATTTGGAGGAGCGGTGGTAGATGAGCTTGCGGGTTGGTGATGTCGTGGGTTGTGACGTCGGTTGTCAGTGAGTGAGTGATAGGTGCAGCGGTCGTACGCAATGCCGTCGTCTTAACTGCCGGTAATGTCAAAGTGGAGACCCGACAAACCTCCGTCTAGGCGTTTGATCTCCGCACAAACTCCGGTTTCATCAAGGTCGTCAACGGCGGACGTCACGGCCAAACGCACTGACCACCCTCCCGCAATTCCGGGTTGCTCACCCGAGCCGTTCCCGTCCAAGCCCCACTACCTCCGGCGGCCCTAACCCTGCTTCTTTCCCACGGTGCCCAGTGGCCCACCGCCATTCCCGTTCGGGACCGGGGGCTCCAAACCCTGACCGGGATTCCGCAAGATGTGCATGACAGCTCCGCCCGTAACGAAGCCCGTACGGATCCGTTACTTGTAAATCCCGCCGTAAAGTCTGTAACACTCTGTTACCGGCACCTCTTTCCGCTCTCTTCAGTTTCAGGTTTGAACCTCTCACAGCTGTCTGTCTGTCTATCTGTCTGCCTTCTGCCACTGACAAGTGATGACAACCGCAGCCTCACTTTTCACTTCATGCAATGCCATGCGAGCTTCACCGCTCCGCTTGGCTTTTGCTTCTACCGCACAGGGAGTGAGGCTCACTTACTCGGTTGTCGTCGGATGGTTTTTTCTTTGGATTTCCAGTCGTTCGGTTGATAACCATGCCGCAGCGGGTTTGGGAATCAGCAGATACATGAACCTACATAGCTTCCGTTCGGCAGGCCGTTTACCGCCACCGGCTCGGACTCGCTCCGCAATGGGCTGACACCGGTGACCGTGACCGTGACCGTGTCCGCTCGCCCGCTCTCCGCTCTCCGTGCCGACCGTCAGCCGAAAAAAACTCCACGAACGGCTTTTATCGAGGCGCCGTTAACGGTTCCAGAGCTTGGCCTGAGAGGTTCTCAATCACCTTCTCATTACCTACAATGCCCAAGCTTGTGATTGTGAAAGTTACCACTACGAAACAAACCCCTTGCAACAACGAATGGCCCTCACCAATGCCACGTCACGTCGACTTTGCACATCCGCCGCGTCAATCCATCTGCTACCATAGACTACTGCTGCTCACGTTCCATCGCTTAACTGTTAAGCTGCCAGGCTTGCTGTAGTTGTTGTAGTTGCTGTAACTAACGTACTATCGACGCAGGACAGGTCGTGCCAGTGGCAGTTGATGCAGGAACCACGTCTCTTCTCACCTTTTTACCCTTTCCCTCGTCCGCTTTTTCCTAGGTACTGTTTCGGGCGATTGGGTTAGTCCTTTACACTTCTTTCGGCATCCAATGCTTTAGGTTTGGGCCCTCGCTTCTGCGACCTGCGACCTGCGTTCCGGTTTCCCGTTCCCGGTTTCTTCTTGGGAGTTGGGAACGTCCCTTTGGCTGCCATTGCTTTGCATGTCGTCTCGTTACCGCTTTTCTTTTCTTTTCTTTTCTTTGTTACGGCAGGGGATTGGACTGGAGTCAGGATTGCAGGTACTTGGAAGATACTTTTGAGGTTGTGAAGGTATGGTATTTTACGATTACAGCTCGATGTACCCTGTCGTAATTTTTGAGGCCCCGGAAGAACACAGGGGTTTGTTTACAAAGCCTCCGTATCCTCCCGGACGCTGTCATGATCTTATGGATCTCGATCATCGATTTAAGGTTTTGCTGCTACAGCTGCTACAGTATCACAGGTGTCACTCCACCGCTCGGGACCGACAATGGAGTTTGATGGAGTTTCTCAGCCTCCCTTGATGGACCCTTTAATACAGCTTCGGGACAGGACGGGCTTGGTGTTAAAAACTCTTTCGGATATTGAAGCCGAGATAAACGACTGTCTCGTGTTTCTTGTCACGACTTTTAAGGTAGGAATTGTTTGTAACCTGAGGAACCAACCAGCGGAGCCGGTAGAGGTAGAGTTGTCCGTAGGGCTTGACTCACGGAAATGCCGTGACCCTCAGGGGATCAGATCGGAACTCTTGGTCAGATCGGAACCAGTTCCGATTCCGATCACCTCAAACAACTTCGTGAACACTTGGGCTCTGACAGGCAGACAGACAGGCGTACAACATACAACATACAACATACCACATCAAACTCAACGGTGAAGCCTTACCGGATACCTACCCTAATCTCTCCTGTCGCTACTTTCCAGCCTGATCCTGTTCCGGTCCAGTCGAGAATCAAATACAGGTCAGTTCCAGATGCTTCGCCTTGCCTTGCCTTATCAGCAATGCACCTTCATCCCGAAACAGAAGGGAGGACAGTGACACCTCACCAGTCACCTCAGCTCTGCGCTCGAGGTAGTGCAGGAGAGAAGGAAGAAAAGGCGGGAGCTGAATGGATGGATGGTACGTATTCGTGTTACCCGTAGTACAGTACCACCGATTTGGGACGAAAATGTTAAAACGCTTTTTGGACATTTGGACGTAACGAACTTGTTATAAAAAGCAGTGAGGGACTTGGACAGGCCATGTATCGACACCTATGAACGTGTATTATACGGGTACTTGTGATGTTCCTAGGGCCCTTGGATGGTGATTTGTATCGTCGGACTAGAGAACACTGACAATCTATATATGATACGCAATATACAATCTTCCTTTCCTGTCCCAATCCTTTCTCGCTTGTCAATGGTGGCAAGAAAAAGAAAGATACAAGAAGTGTAATCTGAGCGAAGTAGCCGCGAAAAATACCATAACCGCCCCTTCAAAAATTTCCATGACGACGACAGTGATGATAACGACATGATGCCGCTAAGCGATAATGATGATGCAATGAGCCCCGTTCGCCGCGTTTTGCGCCCCGTTGTTTCTTTGATGATGAAGCACTGATGAGATAAGATAAGATAATGAATGATACGGTCCCCCCGTCCTTGTGGCGATATGAACCTAAAGCGTGGCCAGCAACGACGACTCTCCAGCAAGTCCAGCAAGGTACACAGTGGGAACCGAAAAAGAGCACAAGAATACAGGAAGGAGGAGAGAAAAAAAGGCAAGAAAGGGGAAAATTACCTTAGCGTACGTAGGACATTGACTGGGAGTAAATACAACAGAAAAACCCTGTAACAGTAATCTTCCTATCGTTCCTTCCACTTCCTCCTATCACTTAATAACGATCAAATGGCTGGCTGGTTCGACGGATTATGATTGTAACTGTGATTGTGATGATCTTGCCTCTTGCCACCCTCCTGGCATCCAATGCTATCGTCCACGTTGCGTTGCGTTGCGTTGCCGTATTACTTCCTCCAGTGCTTTCTACTCGGGACTTCTCCCCAGTAAGGTAGTTTCCCTGCCAAGTTCCATTGCCTCCTTCCATCTCACTAATTGAGCCACAACTTCCAGCTACTCGGTCAGTGTTGTCTGTCTTCCTTTGGGTTTCAGATAAGCCTCACCCAATCCTTCATCACTCCTCCCTTCCAGTCCTTTCAGCTCTTCCAGAGGTCCTGTTGGCCTTGCCTTATCAGCGTTTGTCCCCGTTTGGTCCCTTGCATAGGTGGGAATGGTGACATCCCATCATCCCATAGATGCCACGCCACGTGTCGCCCATTCAGTGTGTGTCCGGCTCGTCGTGTTCACCGGATTCGATCCAATCCAGTGATTGCGAGTCAAAATGCCCCGTAAGGCTTGGTGCTGTCTTCCCGCAGTTGCCCTGCTTGTCGCGTGTGTGAGGTGTGTGGGCCGTTTGATGTCGTGGTCGAAGAGGGTCGTAGAGATAAGATTCGATCCGCTGTCAGGGCTGTTTTTTTATATCTCTGGATTCGTTTGCTTGTGATGATCGTCTGTATTGACTAGAGGTGCCAACATCTCTCCTGTGATTGATCAAATGAGCAGAGGAGGTGCCAACCTCAAGCTACGTTTCCCTTCCAAAGCCCCCAGATAACCTCTCTACCTATTATGATAATAAGGCGTTCGTTACTCCAAACGGCGAAAAAAAGACAACTAGGGCAATGCGTGTGTGCGTGTGCGTGTGTGTTTGTGCAAAAAGGCCTTTGTCTCATTGGGTAGCCCCATCTATACTGTGATAATGATCTCTTCGTATCGTAGTTCGATATTTGCACAAAAAACAACAACAGGGTTATTCTGGTCGCTTCCATCTTCGTTCCGCCTCCTCTGTCTGTCTGTAACTCTGACCAGTAACCAATGCCTTTCTTTCCCCATCAAAAAAGGGATGGGAATCATGAGTGATGTAAACAATGAATCACACAATGCTTTGCTCCTCCATGCTAATAAAGTAGTAAACCGCGATTTGATGCTGTTTCCCTTTGAAACCCTTTGCCTTGCCGTGCTGTTCCCATGCTAACGTCTCCTTTACTGCTGCTTCTGCTGATAATAATGATGATAATGATGACGACGATGATGACGATGTAAAAAGAGGAGTAAAATATATAGACTCGAAGAAGAAAAAGAGTAACGAAAAAACTAAGCCAGAGAAAATCTGAACCACTGCATTTTGGCACAGCTGCACTTGAAGTAACAAAAGCTCAGTCGCTCTCCACAACAAGCTTCTTGGCAGTTTCTGTGCTTCCCACACTAGCATTGGTGTCCCGACGCCTCGCGCCGGTCATTAATCTTCCCATGGAGATGGGCTCCTTGGAAGTTGATGCAGTTGAAGGAGAAGAGATGGTTGGGCTCTTCTTCCGTCTAGCCATGACCAACCCTTCATCACTATCGCTATCATCGTCATCATGATGATTGCTGTGATGATGGCTTTTTGCCCGCACATGCGAAAACGGATGGTGCTTAACAGGCGGCTTATTATTATCCGTCATACGAATGGGCACAGCAGTTGGTGTAATCTGCTCCTGCTGTTCTTCAAGCGGAAAGCCAGCCACAGGCTCCTTTGAGAAAGCTGGGGGTGTGAGAGAGTCAGTTGTGTCAATGACTGATGACCGGCAGACTACTCCTGGGTTGCCGAGAAACTCGCCTTCTGGGTCCGCGGACACAGAGCTGGTGCTGCTGAGTAGAGCTGGAAGAGAAGGATCAGATTGGAAGGCTAGGATCTGCTCCACGGCGTCTTTAGTCAAACTCTGCTTCGAGCTGTACTGCGGGCTCGTTGCCTCGCTAGGACTAGTTAGCGGAGATGTCAAGGCTCCCATGGACGTTGTGCTGGATGAGACGACGGTCTCAATCGTGCCCTGACGAGATTGTGCTCTGCTGAACATGTTATCTCCGGGTGATGGAGGGCAAGGAACAGATGCGGGTTCGGCGGCGTAGTACTCGCGATTTCCTCTCAAGGTGTGATTGTCGGGATCCTGAGCTGGGGAGAGATGTTCACGATTCTGAATGAGCTGAGATAGGCCGTTTGCGTTGATAAAGTCCTCGATCCGGTGTGCTGTTTGTGGGCGTTCATCGAGTTCGACCGTCGGACGTTGCCTGTCGATAATGTTGCTCTCAGACTGGTGATGGTGATGATGGAAAGTGCTGGTAGCGGGAATAATGGGCGGCTGGCTCTGTTCCTCCAACTGCTCACAAACCTTGGCGAGGTCGATCGAAGGCTGGATGCGTGGTCTCTGGGGCATCTGAACGTTGCCGGGGGCGACAGCAGTGCTGAGAGCGACCATAGGTCCGGCCCGCTTATCGTCACTAGCGAACAACCCCCGATCAACGGAGCGTGCTCGGCTAGTATCATCAGCGGGGGGCTTCGTGTCGCGGGTCTTCCTGAGAGCGCTGCTTGGGTCTTCTGGTGCGACGCCATAGAGGGGAGTAGGTGGTACGGTTTGGCAGTGGTTCGGTACGAAGCCCGTGGTTGGGGTAAGGCTTAAAAAAGCGTTGGTAGCGGATCGGGCATGGCCGCGGTTTCGTGACCTCATGGAAGTGCGATCGGGCAACTCGTCGCGGTCTCGGATGTTAGAAAAGATCTCGCGTAGTTGACGTGTTGTCGAGTGCTTGCTGACGGCCGAGGTCGAGGGCTCTGGCACGGCTGAAGCAGGGGAACCTCCAAGTGGTGAGTGTGAAGGGCTGGCAGTGACACTCTGGGTCAACGGGTGCGACCCTGTCGAGAGTTGCGAAAGACCGGAAA